CCATTCAAAAAGACTAGAAGTGGTACCACAGTGGTTTGAATAAGAGGTCATTGCATCTATTAAGTTCTCCCAAAATGCACTAAGTTTTCACTTCTTGCAAATCTATTCAGAGAATGTGATAGTCAATTTTTATAAAGTACAGTACTCACACTGACCTGTGGATAGGTCGACCCAGGTTTTTCCGTCATTTCTTTAACTAAAATGTCCAGACTTATACATAACTACATAGCAAATGGTACTTTTTGTATCTACATAACCAACATCAGTTCTTCTACTTCCCTAAATTTCTATTTATTTTCAGGCCACATAATCAAAAACAAGTGCTATGCTGCAACTTAACAAAATTCATATTCTTCTGATGCACTCTGAAACACTTACACCATTGTGGATGCTGCACTACCTTGCAATTCACACAATCTATCCAACTTGCAGCAGTAAAATCTGTTATCACCTTCATTCATTCATTTAACTATCAACCAACACTGCTGCTCCTCTAAAGCAAAACAGTCACACACTTCCTCAATCTGAACTGCACACTTGTCTTTACCTTCAGCCAGACTTTCAGTGTCTTTTGAGTGAACAGGTGCATCATGTTAAGGAATAATCTATGCTTTCATTACACTAGGTCTCTTTGCATAGCAATATCTGTAAGATTTTAGGCATAGTAAACTTTCATGCTCTAGAAGGGATAGCTTCCAATACAGGGAGATGAAGAGAGGGACAGCAGTAAACTTGCAATAGTCTCTTTATACTACAACTTCCATTAAACACACACTCCCTTAATCATAATACCCATTTATTTTAGTAATTAAAGCACAACAGAATGCTCCTTGGTACCCCACAGGAAAAAAAAGCCCTAATTTCCAATTCTGATATCACTATCTCAATTTTCGGACCTTCTACCTCATAACTGTTACTACTAAGGTTGAAATATGGGATCATCTTGTTTGAGAGGAGAGTCCGGGGAAGGAGGGGTGTTAATCAGTACCCTGGAAAGTATGAATTAGATCTAGTTTCTGGCAATGGTCATGTTCATTGTAAATTTTCTTGGATTTACTTATACTATGTATGCAGATTTTTTAAATCTTATAATGATATTATAAGCTATAGTTGTATGTCACCTTTACTATTTTTGTATTAGAGTGATTATTAAGTATTGTAAATAATAAAGAAATAAAATAGTTTGCCTGCTTGTACACCCGAAATAGGCAAAGAGACAATTCCCCATACAACTGTAAAATCACACCACTTCAAGCCCAGAACAAAACATTGGTATTACACTGGCATATCACGTAGAATGATCCTGCTCACATTTACACAGGAATAAATCAAACTAAATATAATTGGACTTCCTTTTAAGTAAGAGTTAATAGGATGATAGCTTTAACTTTCTTGATACAAGATTGACAAGGAGGGAATACTTTTGGATTTCTCTGTAAGCATAAGTCTAAGGGCCTTTCCAGATAGGACTTGCATCCCAGGATCTGATCCCAGGTTTTCTTCTTTAAACTGTATTATATGAGTCCGCACTGCCAGATAATCTGGGATAAACAGAAAACCCAGGATCAGATCCTGGGATATAGGGCCTGTCTGGAAGGGCCTTTAGGATAGAATCAAGAGTTGGAAGAGACCTCATGGGCCATCCAGTCCAACCCCCTGCCAAGAAGCAGAAATATTGCATTCAAATCACCCCTGACAGATGGCCATCCAGCCTCTGTTTAAAAGCTTCCAAAGAAGGAGCCTCCACCACACTCCGGGGCAGAGAGTTCCACTGCTGAACGGCTCTCACAGTCAGGAAGTTCTTCCTCATGTTCAGATGGAATCTCCTCTCTTGTAGTTTGAAGCCATTGCGTCCTAGTCTCTAGGGAAGCAGAAAACAAGCTTGCTCCCTCCTCCCTGTGGCTTCCTCTCACATATTTCTATATGGCTATCATATCTCCTCTCAGCCTTCTCTTCTTCAGGCTAAACATGCCCAGCTCCTTAAGCCGCTCCTCATAGGGCTTGTTCTCCAGACCCTTTTAGTTGCCCTCCTCTGGACACATTCCAGCTTGTCAATATCTCTCTTCAATTGTGGTGCCCAGAGTTGGACACAATTCTTCCAAACAGCTAAATAAAATGCTACATTATCTGCTTTGAACTGGGATATATGGCAGTGTGGACTCAAATAACCCAGTTCAAAGCAGATATTGTGGAATTTTCTGCCTTGATATACTGGGTTATATAGCTGTGTGGAAGGGGCCCAAGTATTCTGGAACAAACAACTACTCTCGGTCTCTAAAAAGGCATAAATATGATGCTAGTCCCTGGCAAACTGGGAGGAAATGCTACATCCCCCCACCCCAAACATCAGATAGTTTTAGAAGCACTCTTCTAAAGAGCAAATCACATGTAAGGCCATGTTTTGGGGTCTATTTGTGCCAAGAAGCTACTTTTTAAAACCTCAAAACATATGTAAAGAAAATACATATATGGTAATAATATGCAACATTATGTTTTTCTTTCTCTTTTCATAAAAGGTTTTTATTCTGTAGAACCAATACATCAGGGGCCTTACTTTACATTTTGATAGGCAACAGGGTAACGAAAGATTTCCACATGAGCATTAACCAAGTTCTCAGCCACACTTTTATAATCACCTTATTTTCAGATTTAAACTGTACAAGAAAAAATACTGCATTTCAAAATATCAGCCATGATATTTTTGTTCCCAATAACTATATAAACTATGTCAATACTAATAATACTTTATTTATAACCCTCTCTCCCCAAGGGTGAAATGTTAGAAATGTTAGGTAGATTATTTCAGCCTTCTTTCAGCAGTGGACAAACTGATTCCCAAAGAGCCCAGAAAAAGGGTCATGAAGTCATCCCTAGAACTGGATATTCATAGCATATGTCTTTTGAAGACAGAGGTGCCACCTAGCTATCACTGCTAACTCCTGCATTACTATACTTTGCATTAATTTGGCTTCTATTTTACAAAAGTCATCTTGTGGTCACAAAATCAGTACATTAACTACCCCTCTCTAATACACAGGCCTGATATTATTTGTCTTAAATGGAGTTAAGCAAGAAACAAGGTAAACATAAGGAATACATATGCATGGTCCAAAGTAATAGGGTATTCAAATGATTCTTCCTTCCTCTTACTATGCTCCACCTCACTCCAATTTATGTATATATTTTAGTAACTACTATATTCCAAAAAACAATTTATGATTGTGGGGGAGGGCTGCTTTTGGACAATCGGGGTGTATGCTCTCATTCCCTCTATTTTTAATATAAAAATACAATTAACAATAACAATTACATGGCGTGGAAAACTTTCTGATGCAGTCCAAGACTGCCATGAACCACAAGCATGATTAAGCGTGGATACTTTCAATCCAACAAAAATAACCAAAGTGTGCAAAATATCCAGCTAGCCTTCACAGAGGATCTGAAACACAGCCTTCAATCAACTGAGCAAGATCATCAGCAAAATCCTAGAGTATTAGAAAAGTATAGTGTCGCAATATAATAGGGCTTGCTGGCTTATTTATAAAATAAACATATCAATCTAAGCATTCTGCCAAGTATGTTTTAAGTGAAATATTGGTTTTGACACTCAAAGATCCACTGAAATAAAGCACGCAAAGTAGATGCACCCACTGATTTCATTAGGTAGCAATAAAACATTTAATTAGTTGTGTTCTGTATAGTTATAATGCTACTTTGCTATAAGGGTTTGGGAGAAAAATGATATCTATCGACTATATGTGTCAGTTATGCTACACATCTTCATAGGTATGTAGAATCCAGGTAAAATTATCCAGAAAAAGGTTTCATAAGGTTTTCAAACTAAACACACACAGAAAGTCAATAGTGTTTAACCCATGAAGGAATGACAACTCTAAATGCAATAGGGCTGACCATGCAATGCTTACGTAGTAAGACCAGGAAGCTAGACACGCTATAGTTACTACTAATTAAAAGACGTCAATTAAAGACTGCAAAATTGAGGGTACTGAAACCTAGGATAACTTGCATGGCAAAAGCACAGGAAATGCACAATAAAATTAACCCAGTCCTATTACATTTTTAACTATAGAAGCTCCTACTTAGTTCACATTCCAGAACCAAAACACTGTATTAGCTCATACATGTGCAGTAGTACTACACATAAAAGAATGAGGTGAGTTAAGGACAGAGTGAGACAGAAACGCAATTCAACACATGCTGGTTGTCAAATATCAAGGCTATAACACAGTACCTCTGTAGCGCTTTAATCAAGTGGTGTTTTTTAAAAACAAAAACAAAAAAACAGAATTTTCCCCAAATGATACTTGCTTTACACTGCTTCTAAAGCAATAGTTTTAGAATGAAATAGAGCAGCAGTAGGAAAATGCTACGATATACCTTGGGACAATCTTCACCTAGGACACTTTATTGTTCTACATCTTTGTTCAATTAGTATTCAAATATAAACCTATTTAGGAGTGTATCCTCTTGTACATCAGTATGCTTTGTTTCTGTAAACACTCCAGGGCTATTGCATGCAACTCTGGAAAAAACATAAATACAATTTACAGCTGTGTGGATCATAAGCCCTTTGCTGGAATCTTAAGAATCCTAACTTGCAAGGCTTTAACCAAACTGTGTTTCTAGCCCTCATGTTTGCAGAAATAAATCTGAAAATGGCTTAAGGTGGAAAAGAAGCAATCCATCATAGCCTAGCTTTCTCTAAAAGTTTTCATTTCCGTATAACCACCTTCTCTTTTCCACCTCTGAAATGAAGAATACTATTAAAATAAATTTTAAATGAACACCAAGAATGGTTACCTGCCCAACATCAATTACAAACAACTGAAAGATGGAAAGAACATATTTAACCCAATTTTCAAAGAAGTTGTCACATCACAAGCTTTCCAGCTTCAGATTACAGCAGATCTGCCTCTTTTTAAGCACCAGATTTCATAACTACCAAAAGAAGCAGAAATTCATTTTAATCTTTCCCTTACCTGGTGGTAACTGAAAGTTCTGAATATTTGTTGGATTCTGAGGAGGCTGACGAGGTGCTAAAACAGTAGGAGTCAAAGTTGCTCTGATTCCACTTGTAGTTGCTGCTGGAGTCCTTGGCATACTCTGTGTGACTGTATTGGCAGCTCCCTTTGCCAGGCCAGTGGGAGTGCCTGGCGCAGGAGGTACTCCACCAGGATTAGGGGCCACATTGGGCAGGCCAGCTTGCATAGTTTGCCCAATAATCATATTACCCCCTGTAGTACTGGGCTGGCCACCAGCAGCCAGGGTCTGCTGTTGGGTTACTGTCTGCACAATAGTTTTAGGAGACTCCGACTTTATGACTTGTGTGGTGGGTGCAGTCGGTACGCCAGAACCAGGCTGACTGTTCACAAGAGAGGTCTGGAGGGAAACCCCAGAACCCACAGTGGCTGCAGCAACAGCTGCAGCAGGAAAACTTCCCACACTGATGGTTGAATTGATCACAGTATTGCTCCCATTCTGAGTGGCTGCAGCTACCGAAGGTCCTGCTGCATGAATGGGCGGCCTCACCAATGCTACCGTTGGCCCTCCAGGACCAAGGCCCGGGGGCTGTTGTGAGGATATCACCGTGGGCGAGGGCGAAGAAGCTGAGGACACCCCAGTGCCAAGAAAAGAAGTCTGGATGACAGTATTTGAAGCAGATGGCAACAAGGCATTAACAGTACTGACTTTCCCCACATTTCCAGGTCCATTGTTAACAAGAGGGGTGACAGCTGGGACAATGGCAGGGTTCGCCGTTGCAGGGGTAGCCGTGAAAGAAGTGTGAGAATTCATCACCACATTACTCCCGTTCAAAGTTTGTACCGCTGTGGACCCAATTTTACCATTCCTGGTAGATAACGCTGTCGCCATGGTGCTGATGACTACTGACTTGCCCTGGCTGAGGGTCCCTGGGGTGACAGCAGCTTCAGATCCACCTTGAACATTTGTAGTGGTGCTGACGCTGGTGGTGGTGGCTCCATCCAAAGTGGAACCCTGGGACCTGGCATTATGATTGATAACACTCCCTTGCGCTCCACCAGCTCCTGCAAATAAAACAGATGGGATTAACCAATAAAAGTTATCAAATGACAGTTAGAGCAAAGGAGTCTTGTGGCTAAACAAGACAAGGGGAAACTTACTCTCTTTTACACCAAACTATTGCAATAACGCATTAAAAAAGTAAAACCATTCAACCCCACTGAGAAATTAAGGAGGTCTTCCTAATGCTTTCCACAGACAATGGACAGCAATAAATGACATTAATTTCTCACCCCCAAAAAATCTTCCCTGATTTTAAGGAGCACAGGTATACAGTAAGAAAGAAACTCCTGCAAAGAGGTGTCTCTCTTTTTCTCTTTGGATGGAATAGCACTACTTTTGATAACATCCTATTGTAAACCTAGACTTTCAACTATGGGGATGGACAGGAAGGGGGGGGATAGCAGACAGGTTGAGCAAAGTCAGTATCAGAATGCCCTGAGGCCTCCAACCCCTCCACTTGATCCTCTTATCTGTTGTACCAAAATCTAGTAGTTATGTGTTTCCTGGCTAAACTGATACGAAAAAGTGAGGATGAACAGAACTGTCAAACTGAGGAGACCAAAAAGGAGGATTCAAGGCAGTTTTAGAGTTCATCCTCCCTACTAAACACACACACATTAAACTCTGCTGCTCTTATTGCGGCTCCTAGAAAGGAAAACAAATACTAATAAAGGTGCTTCTTTCTCCCCCTGAAAACCTACTGTTTCTAGCAAACACCTCCTCTGGATCTCCAGGCCCTGCATTTAGTAAACACAAATAGGAAGATTGTAATCAGAAAGACAATGTCACATAAATCAGGGACAGCAGAGAGTTTTTCCTCCAAGATCCCACTTCATTAACCTTGTGTCATGACAGGCAGTGGCATCCTAGTAACATTTCAGCAACATGAAACTGAAGAGGGGGAAATTATAGAAGGTGGAAGCAATCCCCAGACTATACTGGGAGGAAAGACAAGCACTGTTTCCCCCACAAACACTATAAAATGATCTTTTAAAATCAGGGCTGTTTGTTCTAAGGAGAAAACTATTCAAAGATGAGCTGTCATCTCTCCCAACCCTATGAACAGGAGGGGCTATGCTCCAATTTGCTATGTATCAGAGTCTGGGCTACTGGAGAAAGCAGAAAAGCCAAACATTGGGGTGTGTGACCTCTGAAAGAAGCCAAAGAGACCAGTATCCCCATAGAGACAGAGATGTAAGGGAACTGATAAGTTATTCTACCTCAGCTCATCTTTTAAACTGTTTTTTAACAATTATTGTTAAAAAATAACAATAAGTTATTGTCGCTATCTTTTTACTTATTGTACAATGTTGATTACTGTTATTGTTATCCTTGATTATTGATTCCATTTTATTTTTTTAAGTCCTTTGTTTATATGGGCATTGAATGTTTGCCTTTTATTATGTTGGAAGCCTCTCTGAAGGGCCTATATCCCAGGATCAGGATCCCAGGTTTTCTGTTTATCTCAGATAATCTGGCAGTGGGAACTCATATAGTCCCAGTTTAAAGCAGAAAACCTGGGATCAGATCCTGGGATAATTGGGCCTGTCTGGAAGGGCCCTGAGTCCCCTCACGGAGATATTGCGGGATACAAAAAAGTATTATTATTATTATTATTATTATTATTATTATTGGATTGCTGTAAGTTTTCTGAGCTGTATGGCCATGTTCTAGAAGCATTCTCTTCTGACGTTTTGCCCAAATCTATGACATCCTCAGAGGTTGAGGAGTCTGTTGGAAACTTGGCCAGCAAGATGGAATGTCCAGGGTGGGAGGCAACTCTTGTCTGCTTAAGGCAGGTGTGAATATTGAAATTGGCCACCTTGATTAGCACTGAATGGCCTTGCAGCTTTAAAGCATGGCTGGTTGCTTCCTGGGGGAATCTTTTGTTGGAAGGTGTTAGCTGGCCATGATTGATTCTTGTCTGGATTTCCTCTGTTTTTTTAGTGTTGCTCTTTATTTACTGTCCTGATTTTAGCGGTTTTTTAAAAGTGGTATTCAGATTTTGTTCGTTTTCATGGTTTCCTTATTTCTGTTGAAACTGTCCACATGCCTGTGGATTTCAATGGCTTCTCCGGTAGTCTGATATTGTAGTTGTTAGAGCAGTAGTTTCCAACCTATTAACGGTGAGGCCATGGGGCATATTTTAGTTCTTAAGGACCACTGGTGGCCCACAGACCACAGGTTGGGAACCGCTCTGTTAGAGTACAAAAATAAAGTACTATTATCTTATAATATTATTATTTAATGCATAACAAGATTAGTACACGGTAAACAAGGTAACTATGCTGGCTGTTGTATCTGATCACACGTCGGACACTTCCCAAGTGTCTAGGACTGTGTGATGTATTGGTGAATAATGTGTGCAGATGCAAGAAGGGTGGCCTTTTGCAGATGACAGATGGTAATTTTGTCAGTGACAATTGTTAGCACCGATTGTTTTTAAGTGCTGGCAAGGCCTTTAGGCACTGCACCCAGTGTGCCAATCACAAGTGGGACCACGTTTACTGGCTTGTGCCTGTAAATATATTGTTGTTGTTATTGTTTAAAGCAAGTTCCTGACCCTCAATTCCTCCCCATAACTTCCTCTTCTGGGGGAAACTGGTGTTGTAATGAATAGCCATCCCTATTCCTGACACTTCAGCAACAGAGAATGGAGAGAAGGATAATTCAGACTCTGAGGCTGTAGAGCAGGCATGGGCCAACTTTGGCCCACTACTACTACTACTATTATCATCATCATCATAGTTTAAAGCGGGTTCCTAACCCTCAATCCCTCCCCATCACTTCCTCTTCTGGGGGAAACTGGTGTTGTAATGAATAACCACCCCTACTCCTGACACTTCAGCAAGAGAGAATGGAGAGAAGGATAATTCAGACACAGAGGCTGAAGAGCAGGCATGGGCCAACTTTGGCCCAGTATTATTATAAATATTATACTTGTAAGCAGGTTCTGGGGGATGCTGGTGTTGTAATGAAAAGCCACTCCTACTCCTGACACTTCAGCAAGAGAGAAAGGAGAGAAGGATAATTCAGATTCTGGGGTTGTAGAGCAGGCATGGGTCGACTTTCGCCCTCCAGGTGCTTTGGACTGGCATGGGCCAACTTGTAATGAATAACCACCCCTACTCCTGACACTTCAGCAAGAGAGAATGGAGAGAAGGATAATTCAGACACAGAGGCTGAAGAGAAGGCATGGGCCAACTTTGGCCCACTATTATTATGATTATTATTATCATAGTTTTAAGAAGGTCCCTGTCCCTCAATCCCTCCTCATCACTTCCTCTTCTGGGGGAAACTGTAATGAATATCAACCCCTACTCCTGACACTTCAGCAACAGAGAATGGAGAGAAGGATAATTCAGACACAGAGGCTGTAGAGCAGGCACGGGCCAACTTTGGCCCACTATTATTATGATTATGATTATTAATGGAGAGAAGGATAATTCAGACTCAGAGGCTGAAGAGAACGCATGGGCCAACTTTGGCCCACTATTATTATTATTATTATTATTATTATTATCATAGTTTTAAGCAGGTCCCTGCCCCTCAATACCTCCCCATCACTTCCTCTTCTTGGGGAAACTGTAATGAATAGCAACCCCTACTCTTGACACTTCAGCAACAGAGAATGGAGAGAATGATAATTTAGATTCTGAGGCTGAAGAGCAGGCATAGGCCAACTTTGTCCCATTATTATTATTATTATTATTATTATTATTATTGGGAAACTGTAATGAATAGCAACCTCTACTCCTGACACTTCAGCAAGAGAGAATGGAGAGAAAGATAATTCAGACACAGAGGCTGAAGAGCAGGAATGGGCCAACTTTGGCCCACTATTATTATGATTACTATTATTATGATTATCATAGTTTTAAGCATGTCCCTGTCCCTCAATCCCTCCCCATCACTTCCTCTTCTGGGGGAAACTGTAATGAATAGCAACCCCTACTCCTGACTTCAGGTCTTTTGGGGAAACTGGTGTTGTAATGAATATCAACCCCCTACTTCTGACACTTCAGCAACAGTGAATGGGAAGGAGGAAGAATAATTCAGACTCTGAGGCTGTAGAGCAGGCATGGGTCGACTTCAGTCCTCCAGGTGCTTTGGACTCCAACTCCCACCCTTCCTAACACCCTCAGGGGCCTGGGGCTGTTAGGAATGGTGGGAGTTGGGAGTCCAAAGCACCTGGAGGGAGGGCCCAAGTTGGCCCATGCCTGAACATTGGCGGCCCATTGCGACCAAAACAACAAGGAGGGGAAGCTGGGTGAAAGGAAGCTAGGAAGGCAGGCAGGAAAGGGGGCAAGAGAGGAGGGCAAGAGGGGAGAAGGGGAGGCGAGGCCCTCCTCCCTCTCCCTTCCCCAGGTTACCTGGCTTGGTGGTCTCTGGGCCACTGAGTCCCATCTTGGCGGCGTTACTGGTGACGGCAGTGGTTGTGGAGGAGGAGGAAGAGGAGGAGGAGGAGGTGGTGGTGCCGGGGCTCCCTGTTTGGCCACTGGCATTGCCTCCCCCTCCTCCTCCTCCGGGGCTGGGGCTTCCTCCTCCTCCGCCGCCTCCTCCGCCGCTCACGACATGGTTCCCCAGCAGCTGCCCGGTGGCGGCGTTGGCGGCGGCCCGGAGTCCCTCGGGAGGCCGGTGGTGGCCTCGGTGGTGCCCGGAGGCCGCCAGCTGGGACTCCAGCGAGCCCACTAGGTCGCTCACCACCTTCTCATCCACCTCCGCGTTCAGGAAAACCTCATCCAGCAGATCCGAGCCCGCCGCCATCTTTTTTCTTCCCTCCCTCCTCCCCTCCCTCCCTCCTCTCGCGCGCGCTCACTCCTCCCCCCTCCCTTCCCTCCCTCCTCCCCCCTCCCCCCTCCCTTCCTCACTCATTTTACACATACGCGGTTCCCGGCTCTCTCTCTCTCGCTCTCTCTCAGTGTCTCGGTGTGCCGCCACTGAGCATGCGCGCGGCGCGAGGAGAGGGATTCCGCCCGCTTCTGATTGGCCGCCGGCTGGGTATAAAACCGGGCGCAAATGGCTCCCAGGGCTTAGTCAGGCGACGGGCCCGGCTGCGGCCTAGTCTCAAATAGGAAGAGAAATGAGGACTCAAAAGAGCCGTCGCCGCCGTCGCCGACTCAGAGACCCCGCAGTCTGACAGCCTCCTTCGCCGCCGCCGCAGTCGTTCTTTGTCTCTGACGAAACTCAAAATGGCTGCAGTCTCCGCCGCGGTGGCCTCTGCTGTTGTTGTTGTTGTTGCTGCGGTCTCGCCGGGCTGGAGGAGCTTGGCGGCGGGGACTCGGAGCTACTCGACGCCGGTGCTTCACTGAGGGAGCTAGGCCTCGCCGCCCGCTTTGGCTCTCTTCCTGCCCTTGAAGGACAGGAGGAGAGGCCCCGGCCTCTCCCACATGATCTGCTTTGAACTGGGATCCCGAGTGAAGCTGATCTGGGTTTATATGGCTGTGTGGAAGGAGACACCCCGGCCCCTTCCACACAGCTCTATATAATCCACATTGGACTGGGTTATGTGGCAGTGTGGACTCAGATAACCCAGTTCAAAGCAGATATGCTGGTATTTTCTTCCTTGATCTTCTTGGGATATATGGCTATGTGGAAGGAGACACTCCAGCCCTTTCCACACAGCTATATATAATCCACATTGAACTGGGTTATGTGGCAGTGTGGACTCAGATAACCCAGTTCAAAGCAGATATGCTGGCATACCTTGATCTTCTTGAGATATATGGCTGTGTGGAAGGAGACACTCCGGCCACTTCCACACAATGTATTGTCGAAGGGTTGTTGTAGGTTTTTTCGGGCTATGTGGCCATGTTCTAGAGGCATTCTCTCCTGACATTTCGCCTGCATCTATGGCAAGCCTCCTCAGAGGTAGTGAGGTCAATTGGAACTAGGAAAGTGGGTTTATATATCTGTGGAATGACCAGGGTGGGACAAAGAACTCTTGTCTGTTGGAGCTAGGCGTGAATGTTTCAACTGACCACCTAGCTCAGTGGTTCTCAACCTGTGGGTCCCCAGGTGTTTTGGCCTACAACTCCCAGAAATCACAGTCAGTTTACCATCTGCTAGGATTTCTGGGAGTTGAAGGCCACAGGTTGAGGCCATCAAATGCTAATCAAGGTGGTCAGTTGAAACATTCTCACCTAGCTCCAACAGACAAGAGTTCTTTGTCCCACCCTGGTCATTCCACAGATATATAAACCCACTTTCCTAGTTCCAATAGACCTCACTACCTCTGAGGATGCTTGCCATAGATGCAGGCGAAACGTCAGGAGAAAATGTCTCTAGAACATGGCCATATAGCCTGAAAAAACCTACAACAACCCACTTCCACACAGCTGTACAAAGCTCACATTGGACTGGGTTATGTGGCAGTGTGGACTCAGATAACCCAGTTCAAAGCAGACATGCTGGTCTTTTCTTCCTTGATCTTCTTGGGATATATGGCTATGTGGAAGGAGAAACTCCAGCCCTTTCCACACAGCTATATATAATCAACATTGGACTGGGTTATGTGGCAGTGTGGATTCAGATAACCCAGTTCAAAGCAGATATGCTGGTATTCCTTGATCTTCTTGGGATATATGGCTGTGTGGAAAGAGACACTCCGGGCACTTCCACACAATGTATTGTCGAAGCGTTGTAGGTTTTTTCGGGCTATATGGCCATGTTCTAGAGGCATTCTCTCCTGACATTTCGCCTGCATCTATGGCAAGCCTCCTCAGAGGTAGTGAGGTCAATTGGAACTAGGAAAGTGGGTTTACATATCTGTGGAATGACCAGGATGGGACAAAGGACTCTTGTCTGTTGGAGCTAGGTGTGAATGTTACAATAGTGGTCAGTTGAATCTTTCACACCTAGCTCCAGTAGACAAGAGTTCTTTGTCCCACCCTGGTCATTCCACAGATATATAAACCCTTTTTCCTAGTTCCAACAGACCTCACTACCTCTGAGGATGCTTGTCATAGATGCAGGCGAAATGTCAGGAGAAATGCCTCTAGAACATGGCTATATAGCCCGAAAAAACCCCCAACAACCAAATCCACTTTAATTGTTTGGCTCAATGCTATGGAACCGTGGAGGATGTAGTTTTACAAGGTTGAAAACATGGATGTGGGATCAGGCCTTTAGGTAACTATGCTGACAAGGACAATAACAATGACAATTTATTGTCGAAGGCTTTCATGGCCGGAATCACTGGATTGTTGTAGATTTTTTCGGGCTATATGGCCTTGTTCTAGAGGCATTTCTCCTGACGTTTTGCCTGCATCTATGGCAAGCATCCTCAGAGGTAGTGAGGTCTATTGGAACTAGGAAAGTGGGCTTATATATCTGTGGAATGACCAGGGTGGGACAAAGAACTCTAGTCTGTTGGAGCTAGGTGTGAATGTTTCAACTGACCTCCTTGATTAGCATTTGATGGCCTGGCAGTGTCTGTGAGACAGAGTTCTTGGCCCACCTGGGTCATCCACGATTATATAACCCAATTCTAGTTCCAATACAACTCAAACCTCAGAGGATGCTTTAGACTAGACGGCAGGGGAAAGTCAGGGAGAAAATGCCTCTGGAACGGCATATAGCCAGAAAAAAAACCTACAACAACCTAGTGATGCCAGTCATGAAGCCTTGGACTACATGCGTTGGAAGTGGCCGGAGTGCTCCTACACACAGCATAGGTAACTAGGAAAGGGGTTTATAGATCTGCGGAATAGACCAGGGTGGACAAAGAACTTATGGTTGTGAGCTACATTATATGCTAATCTAGGTAGTCAGTTGAAACATTCACACCTAGCTCCAACAGACAAGAGTTCTTTGTCCCACCCTGGTCATTCCACAGATATATAAACCCACTTTCCTAGTTCCAATAGACCTCACTACCTCTGAGGATGCTTGCCATAGATGCAGGCGAAATGTCAGGAGAAAATGCCTCCAGAACATGGCCATATAGTCTGAAAAAAACCTACAACAACCCACTTCCACACAGCTGTACAAAGCTCACATTGGACTGGATTATGTGGCAGTGTGGACTCGGATAATCCAATTCAAAGCAGATATGCTGGTATTTTCTTCCTTGATCTTCTTGGGATGTATGACTGTATGGAAGGAGAGACTCCAGCCCCTTTCATACAGCTATATATAATCCACATTGAACTGGGTTATGTGGCAGTGTGGACTCAGATAACCCAGTTCAAAGCAGATACGCTGGTATTTTCTTCCTTGATCTTCTTGGGATGTATGACTGTGTGGAAGGAGAGACTCCAGCCCCCTTCACACAACTATATATAATCCACATTGAACTGGCTTATATGAGATTTAAAGATGGGCTCAAAGCCAACTTTAAAAACTAGAATAGACACTGCGAACTAGGAAGCCCTGGCCCTTGAGCGCTCCCGCTGGAGGTCAGCTGTGACCAGCAGTGCTGTAGAATTTGAAGAGGCACAAATTGAGGGCGAAAGAGAGAAACGTGCCAAGAGGAAGACGCGTCAAGCCAACCCCGACCGGGACTGCCTTCCACCTGGAAACTGATGCCCTCACAGCAGGAGAAGATGCAGATCAAGAATAGGGCTCCACAGTCACCTACGGACCCACCAGTACATTGATCTTGGAAGACTATCCTGCTCCGACGACGAGGGATCGCATAAGGAAGGATATGACAGTGTGGATTCGGATAACCCAGTTCAAAGCAGTTCTGGTGGGATTTTCTGCGTTGATATTCTGGGAAATAGGGCTGTGTGGAAGGGCCTGCAGAGCCCTTCCACACAGAATATTAAGGCAGAAAATCCCACAATATCTGCTTTGAAGCGTGTTATCTGAGTCCACACTCAGATAATGTGGGATATTCTGGGATATAGAGATGTATGGAAGGGCCCCCAAATATCAAGGCAGAAAATCCCACAGTATCTGCTTTGAACTGAGTTATTTGAGTCCACACTGCCATATATTCCAGTAGAATATATAACATATTGTGAGATTTTCAGTCTCCCATCTTCTAGGTTATATGACTGTGGAAGGGCCCTACCTCTTGTCTTTCACACCCGAACTTTCCTGGGGAGTTCCCCCCTTTCACCTCTAAAGCAGCCTCCTATAGCAATCACAGCAGCCGCTGCTTGTAGCACAAAAATGACAATTTAAATTTTCTCCTCGAAGAGTAAATACAGTCGGGTGTCTTAAATATACACCTGTTCATAACTCTACGAGCTAGCTGGCATTGTTTCCCCCACCCCATGTGCAACTGGAAGTTGCTGCTGATAAATTCTACCCCTTCCTTTTCAGCCCCCAAAGGGGGACTCAGGACAGCTTACAACAGAAGCAATTTGATGCCGACAACATACAACACATTACGTACATTAAACATTAGATTAAAATACATTTAAAACATCATGTAGCCGAATCAAAGTCTGATTTAGCAACCGACGACCCAGTCCAAAGCCTGTCATAGTCACAATTGCAACATTGTGATAACTGCCAAACCTACTGTCCAAAGACCTGGTCTCAAAACCATGTTTTGAGTTTCTTTCTACAATAATAATAATAATAATAAACTTTATTTATACCCCGCCATCATCTCCACAAGGGACTCAGAGCAGCTTACACGAGGCCAAGCCCAATAACACATCAAAACAGAAAAGCAGTAAACAAAACAATACAATGCAATACAAAATAATATAAATTACATATAACAATAACACACAGGATTTAAAAGCTTATGGCCAGGCCAGATGTAATAATTTAAAATTTAAAAAATAACACTGGGCATGACAAGATAGGATATATCTC